AAAAAAAAAGCACATATTAGAATCTGCCTTTGAGGAAAGGAAGAGTGGCATAATCAGGGAGTGAGAAAGACAGAGAGGCCAAGAATTATTAAACTTCTGAGCCTGAGAGTATCCAAATGCAAAGCTGTATTTTTCTCGGACAATAAATGCCTTCTCTGGCATCTTGATATTTCTCCAAAGACCATGCAGTTAGTGCTGACGGGCAGCTCTTTTGTTCAAAGATTTTGAGGAAGCCTGGACCTCACGATCATCAAATGGTGATTATTAAATACTCTTTAAAGAATCAAGTTTAGCCCAGTGAATTCAACTCATCCAGAGATCAGAGTTCTTACAGTGTGAGCCTCCAGAACCCAGCAGTAAACCTAGGAGGAGAAGCCAGAAAGACCTCTGTGCTGGTGAGGAATCTGTATCAGAACATGGGTTCCTTCCTGTAGCAGAGGCCTTCATCTGTTAACTCTCATTAACAGAGTTCAGAAGCCGAGCTACCTCAGTTTGCAGGCAATGGAAGCTAAAGAAGAACAAACTGTGAAGGTGGGCTCCAACAGCCTGATGGGCAGTGAAAACCTCGGAACTGGACACAGAGGGCAAAGCCCAGGTCTTGCAAGGGTGGTCTCAACAGCCCAGCAGACCTCTCAGATCCAGACCCCTTCCCTGTAGCATTTCACGGTTGCAAGTGATCGTAGAAATTTAATAGATAGAAGGAAACCTAGAGATTATCTTATCCGCCTCCTTCCTTAGAATGTTCCAAATGATTATCTTAAGATACCAAATAGAAGCTTAAACCATATACATAGGGTTCAAATAGATACCAAGTCAATATTTTTAAAATGAAAATTTTGGCATTTGAACGGGTAAAATTCTGCCAACTGAAAATCACTTTTATTTGCAGCAGTTAATTATTGGATGAGGCTTAGCAATTCCAGATAGGCCTGGGTGTTGGTGCCATCTCTGACATTCGGAGGACCTCTTTGCATTAGCTTAGTCTCTTTGTTCAAAAGACAGGATATGAATGGAATGGCCCCATTTCTCAGAGCCCCCTTCCTGTGTCTCCTCTGTAGTAGACTGACCTTCAGCAAAAGTGAGTCAAGACACATAGAAGTCTTACAATGACTGATTTTCCAGCTGATTCTTCTTGATGGCTTTTGGAAGAGTCCAGTACATCCTGGACTGACCACATATTTATTAGGGTATGGATCTACCTCTTTGACATTTACTGTAGAACCTTAGGAAACAGGTCCCTTTCCCCTACCCCCTTCCTCTAGCACCCTGGTCCCTTAGCACCAAAGGAATCTGTTTCCTGTCTTCAAGCCATGCCTACAACTATGATGTCTTCTCTACTCTATCCTCACTCAAGGGTGTGTGTGTGTGTGTGTGTGTGTGTGTGTGTGGCAACTTCTCTGGTCAAAGCACATCTTGGACTTCTGTGCATCACCTCCTGCATCTGGAGGTATCTTGAATGCCCCTTTAGTCCTTTCTCTCTGCCCAGGTCACATTATGACACCAATCAGGGGTGTGTGTCAGGAAGCACCAAGAGCAGAAGAGCATGCAGTTACTCTTATTCTATCTCTGCCACTCTCTGTTGATGGTACATGGAGTAGAGAGTGAACTTTCTGGATTACTGTGTGTGCTGGTCCCTGTTTCGAAGCCCTGATATGGGCCAGCCTCTCAGGGAGACACTCCAGGGCCTGAGGATCGCATCAAGTCATGCCTCAGGGCCTGGAAGAGGCTAAGGAGGGACTGGGCCCAGATGTCCTTCTGATACCCTTGGGACAGGGCCGTGCGGTAGGCTGTGTAGGCGAGGGTCAGCAGTGTCCTTTCAAAGTCTTCTTTTTTGAGGATGCCAGGATAGCTGGTCAGGCTGGCACTCAGCCGGCGGATGTCTGGGATACGTTTGGGGATCACATCATTGCAGACGGTGTGGAATTTCAAGGCTTTCCTCCAGGAGGCCAGCTCCTCGTCCCTGATGGAGATGTCCAGGTCAGGGCTGATCTCAAGTTCGGCCAGCAGGAACTGGTGAGATAGGGAACGTGGAAAGACATGAAGCCAGGCATGGTTGAGGACACGGCAATTGTCACTATCACACATGGTCACTTAGGGAGGCAGCTGTGGAAAGAGCTTTGGATCCAAGAGACCTGGGCTTCACTTCTGATCTTTAAGCTTGCTACATGACCTTGGACAAATTGCTTCACTTCTCTGGGCCTTACTTTCCTTCTCCTCAAAAGGAGGGATACTGGGATATCGAGATATCATGAGGGGTACATAAGACAAATATGGACAAGTATGACAGTGCCTCGTCCATGGCCACTATTTAAGTGACCAATTATTGTTTCTAGTGTCCCAGATCAGTCCTTTCTTCCCTCTCACCCACAAAGAATTTTCTAAAGCATAAATTATTTTGGATAATTTTTAAGCAGAACTTGAGATTTAAAGGATGCAGAGAACTGTGCTGGGAATTCAGTGGGATACAGAAGTTTGTCTTCGACTCTTATCACCTTGTAAGTATAGGGTGTGGGTCTGCCATCCTCGTCCCTGCCCAGCACCAGGCACACAGGAGGAACCTGATAAATACCTGGATAGATGACTCCACATCTCCAGTCTGCTCTGTTTCCATCTCCACAACACCATCTGTTATCGTTCTAGAGCTTGGCTCTGTTCTGTGACTCCCAAGCTCAAGTCTTGCCAGACTGTGCCCCAAGACAGAGTTTGAAATCTCCCTGGCTCAGCTGTGTTGTGTGGCTGCTGCAGGCAGTCTCTTTCCAAACCAGACTGTTTTGATACACAGTCACAGGATATAAAAGCTGGAGGGGAATTTGGGGGGCCATAATTGAACTTTTTCATATAACAATTGAGGAGATTTAGGCCTAGAGAGAACCGGTGGCTTATGCAAGGTCACACTGCTGAAGAATTAAAGCTCAGAAATCAAACCTGGGATTGTACCACTGACCCAAACCAAGAGCCCTCAGGAGATCTGCTCTGTAGTTTGGAGGAGAAGGATCTCAGTGGGGCAGGTGTGAGTGGCAGAAGAAGAGACCCTTTCAGGCTTCTGGAAACCTCCGTGGACTAGCAGGGCAGCCAGACAGCAATGCTGTTCCAGCAGACAGGGTCTACGGCCTTAGGGTCTGCACCCAGATCCCAGCGTGGCCTTGCCTGGACACTATGGACGAGTCGGCCTCCAAACCTTTGCTCGGGAATCGGCCACACTCTGGTGCCTGAGTGTGGGCAAGGGCACCTGTGGGACAAATCTCATCTCGAGTTTGCCTGGGCTGAACTGCTAATTCTGTCATTCCCTGTTCAGGCTCATGGGGAAGGAGAGGAGGTGTGAGCAATTCCTTCCTTTGGGATGGGCAGGATTCTGTGACCTCCACAAACGGGTCTAGGCCATTCCCTACCGCAGCTCAGGCCACTCCCGTTCAGGGACTCAGACGGGTCATCTCTTCTTTTCCAAAAAAAAAGATAAAGAAAGGCTGATCTCAAGTTCAGCCAGCAGGAACTGGTGAGAAACATGGATTGTGGAAAGGCATGAAGCCAGGCATGGTTGAGGACACAGCTCTTGTCACTATCACACACTGTCACTTGGGAGGCAGCTGTGGAAAGAGCTTGGGTTGACCCCTTTTCCTCTCCCTACCTGGTAGAGCAGCTCCACTTCCTCCAGGGAGGTCTGCAGGACTGGGTTCAACGGCATGGATGACGACTTCTTTGGCCGATGAGCAGCAGGGAAGAACTTTGCTAAAAGAAACGAGCGTAAGCTTGTGGGTTGCTGTGCACACAGACCACCGCCCTCCACTTAACCATGAAGGTAGCCTGTGCATCTTGACCTAGCCTGGGGAGAGCACGTCAGGCCAGCATCTTCAAACCTGGGTGCTCATCAGAACCATCCAAGAAAGTGTTGAAAAATATATACACCTAGGGGTACGTTTATGCTAGAGACCTTATATTAAAACAAAGCAAAAATAAAACAGACGGGAGCCAGCAAACAAAACCCCTTAAGTTCAGCAAGTGAGTTCCCCCAAATATCGTTTTCTAATAAACACACAACTGAGCACTTTTTTTTTTTTTAATCACTATGGAGTACTGGATTATACTTTTTCACCATGCTGTCAATCAGAGAATCAGACTTCTGCTTACCCTAGCCATCTACAAAACAGCTGCCCAAAATTTGAACCCAAGTAACAAAGGAAGAGAGCTGCCACAAGACCCCAGTACCTGGCTCTAGGGGATTTTGTGGTCTGCTCGGGGGGGTTTCCCCTAAGAGCCATGAGATTTAGCAATGCATTTAGCATGACTTCACCTTGTTCCCCGGTGGTTGATTTAGAAGTGTAGCGCTTAGAGGAACAAAGGATAGGGAGAACTGGGAACTGACTGAGGACAAGGGAAAGAGAAGGCTGTAGAGTGCAGGAAGAACTAGGAGCAAACAGCCCCTGCCTCTGCTCAGCCCCTCTTTGCACCTGTCACAGTGGTAAACACGCTGCCAACAGATAGGAAAAGGTGCAGCTTCTTCAAGGCACTTGATCGTAATCTACCAGAAAACTGGAGAAAGAACTGTAAGAACCAGATTACAACATGAGCAGCACCTCCTGGAGTTGGGCAAACTTACTTTGCGTAACCAGCCATAACAGACCTGCTAGTTGATAATGGTGCCCTTGAGCCATGGAGAAGAGGTCAAATTGTGTGAAGCAGTTTAGAAAGAGTCCCATCAGAGGTGATAGAAATGGAAACATCTTCAGCTGACAGAGAGTTACCTGAAAAACTCACTTAGGAATCCCCTGCTTCTCAAAAGAAGTACATAGGATGCAGAATTGCTGAAATATTGTCTTCTCAGTAACTCACTTATGATGGATACTACAAGTTTCCCAAGGGCTGGGATAGATGGCTTCACGTCTCCGTGTCCCTATCAGAGCCTGAAGCAATGAGTGGAGGGCAACGTGAGCGAAGCTTTGCCTCTGATTTCTCCTGATAGAATATGATATACCAGGATATATCCTGGATCAAGTGAACCCCTTCTTCAGGATAGGATTCCAGAGCAACTTCATGTCTTTAATTCTCTTCCTAGAATTTCTTTCTTATTGCAAAATTAAAGGTACTTTTCTTTTTCTTTCCTTTCTTTCTTTCTTTTTTTTTTTTTTTTTTTTTTGTTATGGGTGGGGGTGGGTATTGGGGATTGAACCCGCAACCCCAGCCCTATTTTGTATTTTATTTAGAGACAGGTTCTCACTGAGTTGCTTAGTGCCTTGCTTTTGCTGAGGCTGGCTTTGAACTCCTGATCCTTGCCTCAGCCTCCCAAGCCACTGGGATTATAGGCGTGCGCCACCGCACCTGGCAAAAGTACTTTTTCCTTTAAAAAAAAAAAAAATCATCCTCCAGCAAAAGAAGGGACAGGGAGAGAATGTCACGGACATGGAGCTCTCTCTGCTCCAGATGAGAGGCTCTCTGTGGTCACCTCTGGGGAGGTTATTGCCATCTTAGACCTGGGCTTTCTTGTTTCCCTGTGAACAGCTCTTTTCACGTGCTCACCGCAGGTGGATCCCTTGTTTCAGGATTGAGGAGAAAAACACTTCCTGATTCAAAACCGAGCTTAATAATGGACACTAGGTCATTTCCGACAGCCCTTGTTCTTACACCTCACAATAACCATTTGGGGGAAATTGTTGGAATCAGCCTCAGTCCTCTCGCCTGGGGGAACCAGGACTGCTGGAGGAAGTAGATGTGGGGAGCACTGGAAAATTTAAACGGGGTCCCTTTCTCCCTTCTCTCTTCCTGCATCTGTCCCATCCCCTGGAAGTACAGACCCCCATATTTCTGTAATTGCCTTGATTGTGTACTTTAGACAGAGGTGGGGGACATTTATGTCGTCTTTGGCTGCTGGAGGGCTATGAGGCTGAGCAGTGGCCAGAGTCTGACCTCCAGTCAAGACCTGGAGAGGATATATTCTCCTGGGCTGGTAATGCTAGAGGTGGTGGGCGAGAAATAGCTCTCTCCAGGCCATGACAAAACATAGAGGTACAAGTTAGATGTACACTATTCCTAGACGTTCTTGTCCATAATGATAAAGGCTAGATCCTGACAGAAGTGCCAATGGCCAAAACAGGGGCAGGCCAGCTCCACACACGTATACATACTTGCAAATCTTGAGGCTAGATCTGCTTCTACATCATTAGAAGAAGGACCCCACTTCCCCTGGAAGCCTCTCTCTTAGCCACACACTGTTTCCTTCTCTGTCTCCTGAGGCTGCTGGATCATCTGTTCTGCACACTTCCCATCCTGCTGGATAACCCCTGGGAAGTGTCATCAGCACTGCCGGGTCCTGGAGGGAGGGAATGTGTTTTATGTTTTCTCCGAATGACCTTGAAACCTGCATAATTACAGGGCTCCGAGTGCAGGCCCAATATATATTTTGGAATGATTAAAAAAATAAACTAGGTATTAAACAAAATATAACAACAGCCTTGGGGAGTATTCAGGTTGTGCTGATTTTTTTTTCCCTTCTGTCCCATCCCCCAAACTTATGGAGGTCACCATAAGTTCAGCTCCCTGCTCCCTGCGAGCCATTACGGTGAATTGCTTGGTGTAATAGTGCAGTCTCAGCAAGCAGGGAGCCCTGAGTGCTCTTCACTGGGCGGCCATTAGCGAGCGATGGCACCTTCCCTGAGAGAGAAGGGAGAGAAGGGGGGAGCAGAGTGGGGAGACCAGAGACTGGCAGGAGGGTACCCCGCCATCCCTGGGACCACAGAGCCTCAGACAAGAGACTTGTCAATCATTGGCTTTGGGTACCTTTTGCTGGGTGTAAAACTGGGACCATTCATCATTTTCTCTCTTCTTTACTCAACCCCCACACCCAGCCCGTTCTCTAGGTATTTCTTTGGATGTGAACGTGCCTATGCGGACTGCTCAGTGCCTGTTCTGGGCACACCTGGGCCTCACTAGTCTCCTTGTGTGAAAGTCTGCTGCACAGGCTGCCCCTGGGGCAGGGAGCAGAGAGCTCCTCCTCTCTTCCCCAGTTCCCGGGACTACCAGAAGCTGTGATATATGGGACCAACCCGCAGGGAACAAGTGATTCACTCACCAAAGGTCCTGCCACGTGGACTAAGCTACTCCAGGAACCCGATCTGGAGAGTCATGATTCATGTGCTATGGCGGGTCCCACCCATGTCCCCTGTTGAGGGACACTGTTGGGCCTCATTCTGTTGAAATGTGAGGCTCAGAAATAATAACAGTTCAGGGGCAACCACTGTGTGCCCCGCCGTGAGCTCTGTGCTTTCCAGGTACAACTTGAAAGGTAAGCGTTAACTTCCCATTTTCTAGATGAAGGAACTGGGTGGTTAAGGAAATTGTCCTGGGCCACCCAATTTGTTTGAGATAAGGCTAAAGATCAAGATCTTCCGGACTCTGAAACCCAGTCTCACTGATACTGGTGAACAATGCCCTCTTTTTGTGGAGACATCTGTCCAAACACCGGACATTCTTCAGTTCTGAATGACTTCAGGGAGGATCAGGTAGTTAATGGCGAAGGAGTAAACCAACGAATGAATGAATGCATTTGGTATAAAACACGTTCTTTAAGGCTGGTACATTAAAAAGTCATATGCCAGGCTAAATCAGCACGTCCCCTGGGCTCGTTTCTTTGTTCCCTTCTCGTTCCTTTACAATCACTTGACACTTGTGCAATCACTCGTTCCTTTGCACAACCCAACCCTACCTGCTCCACACCTGCATCTGCGCACCTGCGTGAGGCTGGAGAAAAACACGATCGCCTTAAATGGCCTTACTTTAAAGAATTTTTTAAAAACATTTATTTATTTATTTTTCGGCGGACACAACATCTTTGTTGGTATGTGGTGCTGAGGATCGAACCTGGGCTGCACGCATGCCAGGGGAGCGCGCTACCACTTGAGCCACATCCCCAGCCCCAATGGCCTTAGTTTAAACTTACTGTCCCTCATCTCACACGGGCCTGTAAGTGCCATCACGTTTCGATTCCTGTCATCTTGCCTTTCTCCAGTGACTGTTCCAGCATTCCCTCCTGAAGCGGGTTGCCTGCCCTCTGTTCATACACCAACCTCTCTTCTGCTCTCCTCTCACGCTCCCTTCTACAGCCCAAATTTCCTTGTGTGCAGGAAGTCTCCAGGAGGACGTCCCTCCGGCACAGCAGCCTTTTCTTTCCTACATCATGGATTCTCTCCTCTTTACTGGATCTTTCACAATAGCATGAAACACGTTGCTATGTCTTCCACCATAATTTAAAAAAAAAAAAAATCCCTGCTCGCTGGCCGCCCTCTTCTCCCCAATCTGCTCGTTCCCTCCAGCTCTGGGCTCCCTCTTCTAGCCACACTCACTTCTGTGCTACCTTCCAGCTGTCCTGGTTTCCAGGCCAGACTCCTCTATTTCCTACTGGAATCTCCTGTTTGGATGTACGGTAGCTGCTTCTCCTTCCATCACCCTCAACACGCGCACACGTCTGCCCCATCGCCAGCCTTCCCCCACCTCTCTCTGTCATTAAACGTTCACCTTGGACTTTCTTTGACATCCCACATCCAGCCAGTCAGCAAATCTTGTTGGCTGTATCTTCAGAAATTATCGGGAATGTGACGACTTCTTGCCACCTCCTCTGCAGCCACCTGGTCCTGGCCATGAGCGTCTCCCCTTAACGGCAGTGACCCTGCCTCAGTTCTACTCTTAACGCAGCAGCCCAAGTGAGTCCGCAGAAACGCAGGTCTGACGATGTGGCTCCTCCGCCCAGAACCCTCTCTGCCTTCCCATCTCTCTCTGACCCAAAGACCTTCAAAGGCCAGCAGGAGCTGCCTGACAGGACTCCTTGCTCCCCTGGCTCACACCACTCTGCCACATGCCTCCTCACAACCCCTTTGTTCCTGTGTGTTTCTGAGCACACCAGGTAAACTTCTGCCACAGGGCCTTTGCATTTATGTTCCTTCTTTCTGGATTATTCTTCCCTGGACTGCAGGACTCCCTCCCTGCCCTCTCGGGTCTTTTGCTCTGTCAGTGAGGCCCTCTGTGACTACCATACCCTCCATTTGCTCCAACCTTGGTCCCTACCTTGTTCCCACCCAACATATCATAGATGTTACTTATGTGTTCATTTTCCGTGTCCCCTCCCTGGATCGTGGTCTACATGAGGGTATAGGATTTTGTCGGTTCCATTCACTGCTGTATTCCCAGTGCCTAGCACAGTGCTCGGTACCCTTGATGAATGAATAAACAACCACATAGCAACACATTGCTACCCCTGCCTCGCAACGTGCCTCTTTCCAATCAGAGTGCTTTGCAAAACCTTCCTCTTTCTAACAGGGTGCTTCTTGAGTCTATCTGCAGTTCCAGGACCTGGCTAATGAGAAAGTACACGTCGACTTCTGTCTCCCCCACATCCTTCCTTTACCTAGAGGAGCCCTCCTTCTGGCCTGGAAGGAGCTACTTCTACTTTATCTCAGTGGATGCTCTCTCCCCAGGCCGTATCCCTGCAGACTTCCTCGCCGGGACAGGCAGCCATGGCCCCTGAAGTAGAGCAGCCTGCCTGGCTTTGCAGTCTGACCTTCTCTTTGACCTTTCACAGTCTAAACATCTCCTTCTCCCTGCTGCCAGCCCTGCAGTATGGTCACTACGGCAGAAGATGTCAGGGACGCCCCTGTTTCACGTAACTGTGCACTGGCACCAGAGAGCTTGCCGGACAGGATCCAGACTCCAGACCACACCAAGCCAAAATCCCACTGTGGTTTTAATGAATCAGTCAAAGCGACTCTAAGGGTGTGGAAAGGAAAGGCTCTCGTTGTGAAAGATCTTTTGCCAGATTCTACTGATGTCATTCACTTTGTGGCTCTGGGCCAGCCCTTTGGAAACACAGCGCTGCTCAGAGGTAGTGGGGTCTCTCCTCGTGTGCTGGGGTCCTCAGTGGGCTTCGGAGAGTAGCCACCTTGGCTGGGACACTCCAGCACTCAGGGGCGGTGGAGAGATGATGGAGAGGGGGCGAGCCAGGACAGGGAGACCTTGCCAGAGAGAGAGACGCGGGTCAGATCCCTCCCTCCCCTTGCAGCAGGGTGACCTGGGCGCCTCCCTTCTTGCCCCTCCCTCAGTTTTGTCACCTGTAAATGGTCACACTTGCCCTCGCCTCCTGGAGATACTGAGGTGGCTTTGCGTGGCACACCCAGGGGCAGGTACAGGCAGTCTATCACCAACACTCACAGAGCCCCGACCTCAGGCCCCGCCCCCCAGAGACTTCATGACCTGAACCTGCACAACTCTAGGTGCACAGCTGAAAAGGAGCCGGATTCCACCAAACAAGCCACGTCCCAACCTTCCCCAACTAAACTGCTATTTTTTTTTTCTTGGTACCAGGGATTGAACTCAGGGGCACTTGACCACTGAGCCCCATCCCCAGCCCTTTTTTGTATTTTATTGAGAGTCAGGGTCTCACTGAGTTGCTTAGTGCCTCACCTTTGCTGAGGCTGACTTTGAACTCGTGATCCTCCTGCCTCAGCCTCCCGACCCCCTGCGATTCCAGCCGTGTACCCCGCGCCTGGCTAAACTGCTTCTTAAACAGTAACGGGCGTGTGTTTAACAGCATGGGCGTTCCTATCAATTAATAGATACATATTTTTTAAAAGCCTGGTGGGTCCGCCCCCGTCAGTGCTGCTCTGGCGGGACCTGGGGTATGCTAGGACAGGGGCTGTATGTGTCCTGTGACCCTGGACTGGTCGTGCTGACCACAGGTGAGTCACTTGGTCTTAAGCTGGAGGACTGGAGCGGGCAATCCTGGATCCTGGCGTGGAAACACCTTCCAGGTGGAATCCTAGAGAGCGCTTCTTAGGGAGAGGCTGGGCTCATGGTGGGAAGGATGTGGGCCAGCACCGGGCTCCCTTTGGGTGTATTCTCCATTTCCACGTGGAGAGCGGGGCCACGGGGTGGGAGGGTGGGGGACTGGGAGATGGAAGAGGGGGCCTTCTAGAGAGAGGGTGCCCTTGCATTCTTTCCAAGGGGAATTCATCTGAGCCAGGATGGAGGCAGGGAGGGGGGATAAGGGTGAAGATGAAGAGAACACGCATTTGGAAAAATTGTCATCTACTTGGGTGTGACCCTCATTCATCTTAAAAAGTTGACAAGCATTGTGTATTCCTTGTATAATCAGAAAAAATATTAAACATTTAAAAAAAATCAGCCACGTGGAAGACTTGGGGTGAGACTTGGGGTGGGGTGAGTGGGGTGAGAGCTCGCTGGCTCTGAACCCAGAGTGGAGCCCCGGCTCCAGCCCTCACGCCTGCTGTCTCACGACAACCTCCCTGAGAGTTGTGTTGCCTCCCATGTTTATATAGACCGTGGCCCTGGTGGGGATGGATCTGCCCTGGTGAGGGGGACCTGGGCCAAAGCAGTTGCTCCCAGGGTGTTATCAGACTCTGTTGAGAGCCTTCAACGTTAACGAAAAAATATGTTTTTTTTTTTAATTGTAGGTAGTGACTAGCATTTATATAGTGCTTCATAGTTTACAAAGCATTTTAATTATAATTCTGAATATGACCCTCATGAGGGTTGTAACCAATCCCCATGAGGGTAAGTTTTGTTATTGTGAGTTTATTATCTATTAGTGACTACAGCTCAGAGAGGTTAAGAGGCATGCCAGCAACCACACAGCCAATTAATTAGTTACCCTTAATAAATAATCAATTAATTATCCTTACAGCGTAGCTCCTAAAGTAGCTAGAGGGTTTATAAGCTGTAGTACAGGTAAAATCATCTCATTATACTTTTTTTGTTGTTCTTTCTTTCTTCTTTTTCTTTTTTTGCAGTGCTGGGGATTGAAACCACTACCCATGCATACAGGCACTCTGCCCTTCAGCTCCTCTGCCACAACTCACTCTTTTTTTTTTTCTTTTTTTTAATTTCAAGACAGGATCTCCCTAAGTTACTCAGGGCCTCACTAAGTTGCCCAGGCTGGCCTTGAATTTTCCATCCTCTTGCCTCAGCCTCCTGGGTCCCTGGGAACACAGGCGTGTACCACTCACTGTGCCTGGCTCCTTTGACTTTCTAACGGGCTAGGCTTTAGGAAGAGGAGATATTATGATCCCTTTTAATAGGTAAATGAAGCTGTTCCCCCAGTGTGAACCAGGGGTAGGTGGCAGAACCCAAGTTCTGGAAATCTCTGCTCTCTGCTTCCCTTGCTGCCTGAAGTCTGTGCATACCTGGAGAAGGGAGGGGTGTGTCTGCGTGTGTACGTGGGTGGCATGCGCGTGAAAGAGGTTGTCAGGGAAAGGAGAGGGAAATGGGTGTTCTCTGCCCTGGGCAGCAGTGGTTTGTTCGGCTCAGAGGACTGGGAGGTTCCCAGTGTCAGGCTTCCACGGGAAGAAATAAAATCCAGCGTAAGGGCCTGGCTCTGCTGCCCCCACCCCTCCATTTCACAGTCTTTCTCCCCTCCACGATGCTATCCCCACACTCCTTCCTTCCCTGGTCCTGTCCTTGGGAAGCAGGTCTGCATCCCAGGTCACCACCCCAGCCTTCCTCCCACTGGGGTCTCTGGAAGCCGGTACCATCTGACCTCAGGGCACCCCGTTCTTCTTCCAGTTCTTTCTGGGAACATGAACTCAGTTGACTTCAGGCAGTGGAAAGGTTTCAGTTCTATTGGCGCAGGGTGGGTGGCACTCTCGGTCCCTCCGCGCCTGACTGGTGACCCCTGAGTACATCAGCACTGCCAGCCGGAGCCAGTCCCAGGACACAGAGACCAGAGGCCACCCCAGCTCTGGGGAGTGACATCCTGACGGAGAGGAATTCAGCCACGAGACAAAAGCCTTTGCAGGGGTCTCTTCTCCCCCTGGTGGCCCTGCCACTCCAGTGGGAGTGGCCCAGGGCTCTGGGTGCCCAAGGGGGTCTTTCCTCACTGCCACTGGCCAGCTTGACCGGCCGCAAAGATGCATCCACTTCTGGTCGGGGGCAGCATGGAGACCTCCCTTCTGGCCACCCAGGCTGAGGGTCCCCTGTCCAGGCCACCCAGGGAGCAGGCCTCCTGCACCCCAGCGCCCGTGACTCCATTATGTAGGCAGAAGACCCTGCTACCTGCTCTCCAGAGGCCCTGCCACAGCCGCACAGCTGAGTGGGAAATAGAGGGAGTCTGTCGCACGCCAGGCCACAGAGCCCAGCTGCCTCTTGGCCCCACAGAGAGATGCCCTCTAGGTTCTCTACCTTGACCAAGTTCCCAAATCAGCAGCTCCCGTGATTCCCTGTGCCATTTCCCATCATGTCCTGACACGGGGGGCCCCACCAAAGTGCACCGGCAGAGAGGAGGCAAAAAGAGGGCAGGGGCTTCTAATTCCCCTCCCTCCGCTCACTGCCCTCCAAGTGCCTGATCATCACCTTTTTTTAAAGAAATATTTATTTTTTAGTTGTAGGTGGACACAATATCTTTATTTGCATGCGGTGCTGAGGGTCGAACCCAGTGCCTCACACCTGCTAGGCGAGCGCTCTACCCCTGAGCCCCGGCCCCAGCCCCTAATTATTTTTAAGAAAGAAGAATGAGCGTCCCACCAACCAATGAATCCAAAGCAACTCACCCCTGCTCCACCTGTGGGACGCCGTAGCCTGAGCGTGGGAATAGAGCAGCAGGAGCACCAGCGCCTTCCAATCCATCGTTTCCTCCCAAAAGGTGGAGAATGGACCCCCAGCCCAGGTGGGATCCCAGTGGCTACAGGTGGACCTAGAGTTCCTCCCAGGGAGACGCAGGTAGAATCCTTGCCTCCCTTCCCTTTCCAGGAGGGAAGAAATGCCCTCTGCGCGCCTCCGCAGGGTGGAGGCCCGCCACTGCCTCCTGGGTGGGACGGAGTCAGTCGGCACCTCTCTTAATCCAACTCTCCCTGGGATTGGGGACTGGGCTTCCACACAGAGTCTCTGTTTTTGAGCACATCTGGAGTGACTCACGGGGCATGTGATCTCCTTGGCAGTGGGGTGGATAAATATAATTTCTGTACTTGAGTTCCATGTGTTGGATGCGCCCACTGGAATTTTTCTTTAACAAACAGACCCGCGGAACTTGTTAGAGAGCCCGGCGAAGACTTGGCTGCCCTCCCTGTCCGTCCACACATACTACATCAGAGCCAGGGGCGCGGGCTGGAGGAAGAGTTGGGCGGCTGCCTGGCAGACACTGGGCCTGGTGGAGCCCGGAATTGCCTTCAGGACAGCAAAATCATTGTAGTACCTGGTCCAATGTCACCATCTGTCATCCCGGACCTGGGGGCCTACAACCTTCCCGGGTTCTGAGGGGGTGAGGAGTTGGCAGGTGGTGAGGGAGCAGAAGTGGAGAGGTGACATACAAAAGTGCTACCTGTGTGATCCTGTGTACGTCAAAATCCAGAAGCCCAGAGCGGACCCTCCCACACATGTCACATCCATGATGTTTGTATTAGGCTCTTTTCTGTTGTTATAACAAAGTACCAGAGGCTGGATACTTTGTAAATAAAAGAGGTTTGTTTAGCTCCTGGTTCTGGAGGTCCAAGGTTGTGGTGCCAGCTTCTCCGCTCTGGTGAGGACCTCATGTCAATTGGCATCACAATGGAAGGAATGCATGTGAAAGGGATCAGAGCTGAGACAGGAAGCCTAGAAAGCTTGGAGAGGGTGGTCAGACTCACTGTTTAAAAACATCAACCTGCTTCCATGAGAACGGCATTAATCCCTTCTGAGGGCAGTACCCCCGCCCCCCACAATTATCTTGCAGGAAGTCCCAGCTCTGAAAGATCCCATCACCTCTTAACACCTCCACACCAGGGACCAAGCTTCCAACTCAGGAGCCTGTGGGAGACAAACCTCACGCAAACCTCCCTTTCTGTACTTTGCTCAGATCTGTGACCAGCCCCTTGGGAGTCTCCAAGCAAAATGGCAGTATTTTCCCAGGATCATTTAAAAAGCACTGCTATGGACATTTAGTCTTCCTCACTTCTGAAATCACAGAGGGGGAATGCTAGAGCTCAAGAGCATCCAAAGATCCCCACCCTGGTGAGTTCCAAATCCATGGAGAACACCTTGAGGTCTCCTCTTCTGCAGTCCCAGCTCTGACATTTGAAAATCACTGATTTCACTAATATTAATAATAACTACTGGGTGCTTCGTTTGTTTCAGACAAGGGTCTCGCCTTGCAGTCACTGGTTTAATGCCTACAACCAACTGTGAGGTCAGGGTACAAAAGCACTTACCCGAAGACTTAGAATGCAAGTCCCAAGTGGGATTTAAAATTTTCCAGTAGCTATGGTTTAAAAGTAAGAAGAAGCTGGGCGGGGTGGTACACCTCTGTCATTTCAGGAGGCTGAGGCAGGAGGATCACAAGTTGGAGGCCTTTAGCAACTTAGTGAGACCCTGTCTCAAAATAGAAATAAAGAGCTGGAGATGTGGCTCAGGGATTAAGCACCCCAGGGTTGAATCTTTGATACTTCTCCCCTCAAAAAACAAACAAACAAACAAAAAAAAGTAAGAAGAATCAGTGCAATGAACTGTAATAATACTTTTTATTTAACTCAAAAATCCTAAATTATATAATTTTTTTGGGGGGGTACTGGGGATTGAACTCAGGGACACTCAGCCAGTGAGCCTCATCCCCATCCCTATTTTGTATTTTATTGAGAGACGGGGTCTCACTGAGTTGCTTAGGGCCTCAATTTTGCTGAGGTTGGGTTTGAACCAGCGATCCTCCTGCCTCAGCCTCCTGAGTGCTGGGATTACAGGTGTGCAACACCGCACCTGGCTCTAGGTTATAAAATTTCTATGTGTAAGGTGTCTCGAATTCCTCTTCTGCACGAAGTTTTCATGCTTATAGTGCATCTCAGTTCCAACCAGCCACATTTCAAGTCCTCCACAGCCACAGGTAGCCAGACTTGGGACCACATTGGACAGCATCAGAAGAGGGCAGAGTCTGTGCCAGCTGCCTGTCTTTGTATCCTCTGTCGGCTCCGCCTTTTACTAGCTGTGGGATCTTGGAAGAGTTCCTGATCTCTCTTTGCCTTGCTTTTCCTCTTTTATAGCTTGGGAATAATAATAGTTCCTTCTTCGAGGTTGTTGTGAGGAATTAATGAGTTAATATGTATAAATGCTGGGGACAATTCCCGGCACATACACATACAGTCAATGCATCGGTGCCATTATACAATGAGGAAACAGGCTCAGAGGGGTTAAGTAATCTGCCGAAGATCACACAGCTCACTAGTGGAGCTGGGATTTCAGCCTGGCTCTATGTGATTCCACAGCCTGCATGCAAAACCACTCCCTTAGCCTGCCTCAAAGGCTTACATTTTGGGATCCTTTCAGTGAGGGTGAACAGATTCTGGAGGGGTAGGGAGAAGCCCTGATTTGCGGTGCATGCCAACTTTGCCAGAGAAAATGCTCTCACCAGGCCAATTTCAAGTGACTGACAGTTTAACATGTTGATAAAATTTCTGAGATACCAACAGTCTGCTCCTGGGAAGCCAGGATGAGCTAGTTCCAGCTCACCATTCCTTCTTCAGGGGGTTGGTTCTGCTGGCTCTGCTACTTCCTGCTGCGGGTGCAGTGTTTTTTCTCTGTACCCTGTCAATCTGCAAGCGAGGCCCAGAGGACCCAGCCTGGGGCTGAGCAGAAAGCACACTCCTGGCCTCCAGTCCTGGACTTGGTCATCGGCAGCCTCAGATCCTCAAACCGTCACCTACTGATTACTAAACTGGGGATTAGCTTTTGGATTTGGGAGGGGAGGAATGAGTTTGTAACTCATTTCATTTCACGTGATGATAAACCAGGCTTCTTCCCCACTCCAACCCAGCACAGGAGACACATGTCTCTAGTTCCTCCAGAGACCAGAGCTGTGGATTAGGGAGAGAGTACGTCGGGGTGTCCTACATAAGGCGCTTTTCCCTCTGACGGCCTCTGCGCCCGCCTGCATCTCTTCATCCATTTCCCAGCTCAGTTCCATCAACCAGTCACACAGTCCTGACCACACACCTGGCTTTACCTCCTCCAGTTCCACAGCAGTTCTGTTCAGTACCATCCGAAGGGGAGACCATTTGACACGTGGGAACTTAAAGCTTGGAAAGGATAAGTAACCGGGTTCCCACAGCCCCCAGAGGGTAAGTCACGTACTGACTACCTGGGGCTGAAGCAAAAAAGGAAAGACCAGTAAAGAGCATCTACCCCCTGAGCACAGAGCAGTAGCGGGTCCCATCTGATGGCGGTAGGTCTGGGGGAGATCCTGTCCACTCGGCAGGCCCAGCACAGAAGTGGCGCAATCAGCACCCCCCCCTTTTTTTTTTGTCATTTGCTCATTTGTTCATCTCATTTTTAAACCTCTCCTCTGTGCCAGTCACATGCCAAATAAGACAGTCTCTGCTGTCGAGAACCCTCATTCTGTGCCTATCCTGGAAATGAACATCTATCTGAGACACAGGTGGCCGAGATTTTCTCCCATCCTGTAGGTTCTCTCTTTGTGCTCTTGATTGTTTCTTTTGCTGGGAAGAAGCTTTTGAGTTTGATGCCATCCCATTTGATTCTGTTTCTCATGCTTTAGGAGTCCTGCCAGGAAGTCACTTCCTGTGCCGATATGTCGAAGCGCTGGGCCTAGCTTTTCCTCTAGTGGACACAGAGTTTCTGGTCTCATGTGTAGGACTTTGATTCACTTAAGGGTTGAGGTTAACTTTCTTTCGATTACGAATGGATTTCCAGTCTTTCTAGCCCCATTTGTTGAAGAGGCTCTCTTCCTTCCAGTTAGTATTTTTGGCACCTTTTTCTAGTGTGAGGTCACTGTATTTGCGTGGGTTTATCTCTGTGCCTTCTCTTCTGTCCCATTGGTTTTCTTGCCTGTGTTGGTGCCAGTACCACTCTGGTTTTTGTCACTGTAGCTCTGTACTACAGTCTAAGGTCTGGTTTTGTGATGCCTCTTGCTTCCCTTTCCTCACTCAGGATTGCTTTAGCTGTTCTGGGCCTCTTACTCTCCCAGATGAAGTTCATGACAGCCTCTTCTATTTTTATGAAGGAAAGTCATGGGAATTTTGATGGGAATTGCATTGAATCGGTAGAGCATTTTTTTGGTTGTATGGCTACTTGGACAACATTGATTGTAACTGAAGAGGGCAATCAGTGCCTCCGTGGATATTTAGAGCACGTGATGATGGGGGAATTCCCTGGTAGAAAATGTGGTGGGGGGGAGAGACCCCAGGGGAGGCTCCTGGAGGAGTTGATGTCTGAATAAGCTTTTGGAGGTGAGTTGAATTGACCTGGACTGTGAGGAGCCAAAGGTGTGTGGGTGGTGGGAAGGCAGTGGCTGGTCAGAGCCCGTGGGCCACCTGTGGGCTGTACCCTACTGATAAAAGGGAGCCCTGGTGGGTTCCCCGAGGGCAGTGGGGGGCAAGGTGCTCATCTCTGTGGTTGGATTTGACAGGGCCGAGACCAGTCGAGAGGAATCCGAGTTCCTGGGAAAGACGAGAGGGACCGGAGCCAGGGCAGGAGCCCGCGGTAAGGAGAGAAGGGTGTGGCTTTGAGAAAGATGGAGGAGGTAGAGCTGGAAACACAGAGGCGACCTGGAGCAGGAGGTGAGTGTGGGAGGGGCAGGCGGGAAGTTTTGGGGTCCCCAGCAGAGACTGAGCGGAGGAGGAGGATTTCTGTGTTGCAAGGCCCAGGCCCAGGGGCGCGGCCATTGCTGGGACCTGGTTTCCCTAGAGTCCATCATCCTCTGACCTGCTGCTGTTCCTCCTAGCCTGGGAAATGGCTTCTGTCCACCTCGACTGATCCCGTCTGTGTTGGGGTCTCTGCTGTGTTCTCTAGTTGTGAGGGTGGGAAAGAGCGTCAATCCTTTTGAAGAGGAGAGCTACCCATGGATTGGAATACGAATGAGGAATATGAACACGGCGACACAACCCTTGGGTCTTAATCAAGAGGGAGCCTTAACACCCCCCACCCCCCGGGGCCTGGT